ACTTAATTTTTATGTTAAGGAGGTACTGAATTTCTCGGGAAAGTACTGAAAAAGTACTGATATTGGCCAGCCTGTTTTAGTAGACACCCCGGAAAAGTGATGATTTTACGGAAAGCATGATGCTATAAAAATGGAAATCAGCCGTTTCCTAACGATCGGATTCAATTAGTAGAAGTATCCGTCTCAGAAGGCTGTATAAGAGAGTCCTTTTTGTCCTGGGCTCGGACGGACGAAGTTCCAAGTCCCTCGGGATGTTTCGTTTCCAATAATCGCATAATTATTCCTGTCAATTTTTTCTCCAAATCGAGAATGTACTGTAAAAAGTACCGATTTTGGCCAGCGTGTTTTAGTAGACACCCCGGAAAAGTGATGATTTTACGGAAAGCATGATGCTATAAAAATGGAAATCAGCCGTTTCCTAACGATCGGATTCAATCAGTAGAAGTATCCGTCTCAGAAGGCTGTACACAGAAAAAAATGGATGGTGCTGACGACAGAACCTTTTGTTCATACGGCTCCCACAGTTTCTTTGTTACACTTACAGAACTTTTGGTCGTGGGAACAGAGTACTCTGTTCCCACGACAGAAGTTCTGTTCTCACAACAGAAAAGTTCTGTAAGTGTAACAAAGAAACTGTGGGAGCCGTATGAACAAAAGGTTCTGTCGTCAGCACCATCCATTTTCTTCTGTGTATAAGAGAGTCCTTTTCGCCCTGGGCTTGGACGGCCGAAGTTCCAAGTCCCTCGGGATGTTTCATTTCCAATAATCGTATAATTCCTGTCAATTTTTCCTCCAAATCACCCGCTCGACCGAAAGAAGGCGAGCTGTTTCCTCGGCGGCAGTTGGCGCTGGATCCCGCCTCGGTAATCGAATCACTCCCGTAATTGAAACCAAGGATTTACTCGAAAGTTCGCCGGCGGGTGGACCGGGGGGGAGGGGGGTGACGAAAAGTTTAAGGAAAACGGCGCCCCCCTCTCCCGCCCCCCCGGGGGGGGGTCTCTGTGCGTGCGCCCTTGATCCGCCGTCGCCGGGTTTTCGGCAGCGGGGGGAGGGGGAGGAATCGGGACGCGAGATGCGGGGGCGGGGGTGGATAGCCTCGGGGCACGAGTGACGTCATCTGGAGTGACGTCGTCGGGAGATGACGTCATACCCTCGTGTCGTGACATTTCGCCCATGCTCCTTCGGCCCAGTTGTCGGTCCGCTCCGGGAGCCCCGAACGCGGTGCGAACTTTTGCTCGAGCTGGATGAAAAGCTGGACTTCATTCTGCAATGAGGAACTGCTGTTTTCTTGCTTATGCGTGAAAGCACCTATCTGCGAAGGCGAGTTAATAGCGCATATTGATGACTCTATGTTAATAGCGCATATTGATGACTCTATGCTAGCTTACTCTATAAAATAAAAGTATTAAGGCCGCATAAAGCCCAACGCCCGACGTACGAAGCAGTAAGGGGGCAGAGCAGACCCCCTAGTTTTATAAAATTAGTTCTAAAAGCTTCAGCTTTAAAACTAATTACGTTGGCATACCATCAGCGTATTGCTTACAAACTAGATCCTTTGGATTGAAAAAGCTGAGATGTGTTTTTAGGCATATAATGGATCCAATATCTTTATCGGCAGACTAGCAATTTAGCAGAATTTTCTCGTTATTCTCAATGTTTGTTTATTGCGATGAGCGCATCGGTGCATCGGCAAAGTGAAAAAAACCCTGCTCATAATTTTAAAATTTTTGTTGGAAATTTTCGTATTTACGAGCTTCTCGCTGCAAGAATAATACGAGGTACCGCAAAATGCATGGTTTCACACGTCCTTCGGTAACTAAAAATGACCGCCCTCTCGTGACAGAGTGCGCTTTTTCCGCGCAAAACATTCAGTTTTGTGGGAATTTGCAAATTGTTTTCACTTGAAATATTCAGGTACTCTTCAGGGTCGCCACAGTCAGGGAATACCGGGAATTGTCAGGGAATTTTAAAAAGTCAGGGAAAACCTGGAATTGTCGGGGAAAATGACGAAAATGTTGAAAATTTCAGGGGAAAATTGTCAAGTCGCCTTTATTTGCTTTCTCGACTAGGAGAATTGTCTCGATTGTTTCAATGAATAGATTTTGAGTGAAAACTATTTGAAATTATGTATTTTTAACAATCCAGCATATCTTCAATGTTCAGGGAATTTTACCAAAATGCGAGAAGGAAATCAGGGAAATGTCAGGGAATTTCAATTTCCTCATTCTGTGGTAACCCTGTGTAGATAAAATTGCTAGCGAATCTGTCAAAAAATTGGTGGACAAAACGAAAATTTCCTTGAAAATCCCTATTTTGTCGAAGGACTTTTGGCAACTCCTGAAAGCTCTTACGCCGTTTTACGCCGACGAAACGAACATTTTCCTGAATGTCCTTATTTTGTCTAAGGAAATTTGGCAACTCCTGAAAGCGCTTACGCCGTTTTACGCCGACAAAACGAACATTTCCCTGAAAATCCCTATTTTGTGGAAGGAAATTTGGCAACTCCTGAAGGTTCCCACGCCGTTTTTCCTCAGCAGTTCTGAACTTAATTCAAAAAGCAGGAAAGTGGATATGTCGCTTGTCACGTTGTTTGTTTTTAGTAAATGCGACACCACTTTCCCGCCGTAAAAAGTGATGCAGTCTGTGAAAAATGACACCCTACGAAATGTGCGATCCCTCGCCCCACCTCTTTTTTTACGCGCCGTGGCGTCCCACCTATGTGCGATTCTCGCGTCATCTAAGGTAAGGTTGTCACCGAATGACTTCCAGGACAAAATGGAGGGAGCTCATCAGAAAGGAACCAGCCCACATTAAGTTGAAACTGAGAAAAAGAGGTTTGAAGTCTTATCCCTGCATAAGGTTCAATGTAGAGAATAATTGTAACAAGGTGGAGATATGTTGCTGGGTCCACGCCACTTCACGGGGAAATCAAAGCCCAGAAGTTCCAAAAATTATAATAAGAGTCAAAAATTAATCTTTATAACTCGAATTAGAGTTTAAAAGATTTATTATTGACTAGGCAGAGTACCTCCTCGATGAGATGGATGGAAGAGTTCGTAGAGGTTTAAATCGAGTCGACTCGCAAGTCGACCGAAAGCAACGTAACTCGTTCAGTCACCCGGATACAGAGTCGTGTTTCGATGGTCGAATAGTAGGGATTAGCATAAAATAACAAGACGCGTCGAGGATGGAAGTTTTTGCGTCTCAAGCTAATGGATTTATCGCCCTCTGAAAATCTCAACGACGCTGTCCGCCCTTATAAAAATTAAAGACCACCATGATTACGTCACCTTCCGGCCAAAGTATCACAAGCGCCGTGTGACATTTAAACATTTCCGCCGCCATTTTATTTTTTTACAGAGAAATTGTTGGTTGAACCTGTTTGAAAATTTCACTGAATTTCATCGGCAGCACAAAGAAAATTCAGCGAAATTTTTGGACAGCTTCGTTGAACAATTTCTGTGTAATAAAAATGAAATGGCGGCGGAAAGTTTTTAACGTCGCATGGCGCCTGTGATACTCTGGCTGGAATGTGACGATTTTTGTGTGAACAATTAACAGCACGGTGTTTACAAGTCCGGAATTAGTACTGATTTTTTAAGGGCGGTCCGGAAGTACAGAGAAAGTGCGGAAATCCCGCGAAAAGGTCCGGAATTTTTCATTTTTGTCGCAATTTAAGAGAGAATTCAAAGGTTTGAAATTTTTCGAATCTCGTCAAATTGAGGTACTGAAAAAGTACTGACATTTTCAATTGAGGAGGTACTGAATTTCTCGGGAATGTACTGAAAAAGTACCGCAAAATCACTGATTTGTGGCCAGCCTGTTTTAGTAGACACCCTGAACAGCGTCTAGAAGGTACACTGAAAAAAAACACATAGGATCTAGAGTCCAGACTCTTAAAAACATCGACAAGAAAAAATACTCTTGATTCAATCAGATTTAAGCTCAAATCAAGAACCATGCCTCCTAATTTGAGCGGATTTCCTTTTGATTTAAGCTTAAATCTGATTGAATCAAGAGTCCTTTTTCTTGTCAATGTTTTCATGAGTCTGGACTCTAGATCCAATGTGTTTTTTTTCCAGTGTATGTTTTGGGGGCCCTAATTGCCCTGTATATCTTTCTACGTACAATGGAGATGTTGCATGTGTGAGGGCTTTGCGATTTGACCGTCGATTCTTACGTAAAAGTTCGCGAGAAACACGATGGTCCCACTGGTTTTCTCTGAAATCAACTCCCAAGCTCAAAAAAAGCTTTCAAGTTGAGGTCAAAATGGAGGGGATATCCTGCCCTACCCTGAGAGTCCACCTCTACATCAAAACAAACTCTCCATGCAAAGATAGGGAGCAAATACATTGACAGGGCTGCCACTTAATTTGGGGACTCCAAAACTGAAAACACGGCATCACTGCTAATGTATTTGCTCCCTATCTTTGCATGGAGGGTTTGTTTTGATGTAGAAGTGGACTCTCAGGGTAGGGTGGGATATCCCCTCCATTTTGGACTCACTTTGAGAACTTTTTTTGAGCTCGGGAGATGATTTCAGAGAAAACCAGTGTCACCATCGTGTTTTTCGCGAACTTTTACATAAGAATCAATGGTCAAATTGCAAATCCCTCACACATGCAACATCTCCATTATGAATAAATAAATTATGTGGTTGCCGGCCAGGTTGGCCTAGTGGTCAGCGCGTCTGACTCTAGGCCAATAGGTCCCGGGTTCGAATCCCGGTGGTGGCGACAAATTTTCATGGAACTGACGAGTGGATCTGCAGAAACAGATTCCACTCGGCCTTAATCCCTGAAAATTTGAAAGCCTGGAGCATGGATGTGCCTAAATCCCATGATGTCTAAGGACAATAAATACTGTCTATCGATGGCTGTAGGTTCCAACGGAATATAAGCCACTAAACCAGCAAAAAAAAAAAAAAAAATTATGTGGTTAATTTTTCTTAGTGTGTGGTCGGGTCACATTTTTAAAGTGTTTATTTGGCGTGATTGCAGGCTGGTGATCATGATAGCGGTGCTGGCGGTGGTGAAGTTCGACCGGGCGTTCGTGTGCGTGGACCAGATCTGGTGGCTGTGCGTGGCCTATCTGGGCGTCCTGGCCGGCTCGGCCCTCCTCGACCTCTTCGTCTCCCTCGTCGCCCTCCGCGGAGGCATCCTCGAGACCGAGGCCCGGAAGTCCATCAACCTCCTCCTCTACTTCAGACTCGGTAAGTCGGAAACTCAAAATCCAACCGATTATTTCCCGAATCACGTGAGCGCCGATCTCTGTTTTGGCGGTAGAGGGGTTGTTTCTTCTACATATCGTCACCTTCCAGGCAAAGTATCACAAGCGCCATGCAACGTTTAAATATTTCCGCCGCCATTTTATTTCTTTACTGAGAAATTGTTGGTTGAATCTGTTTGGAATTTTCTCTAAATTTTATCGGCAGCACAAAGAAAATTCAGTGAAATTTTCGGACAGCTTCGTTGAACAATTTCTCTGTAAAAAAATAAAATGGCGGCGGAAATTTTTAAACGTCGCATGGCGCTTGTGATACTTTGCCTGGAAGGTGACGATATATGTTTACACCATTGGCGGATCCAGCAAATTGGCAACATTGTCTTTTCTTCATTTAAACCTATGAAAATGTATCGACTCTTGGAGGGGCCAGGTGCTCCGTCAAGAATCGATTATTTAGCATAGGTTTAAATGGAAGAAATCCGGTTTTGCCAAATTGCTGGATCCGCCTCTCGTTTACACTGGTCAGGGTTGCCACAGTCAGGGAATACCGGGAAGACTTGAGTCCCTTTACACTGAGAGTCAAGACAACACCCCCTCATGGAGTCACAAACGGGAATAAAGATTACACAAATTGAACGTTTTTCGTAATCTTTGAGCGGCCCATTCTCAAATTCCTTTCTCCGTTCCTTCTCTCATGCCGTTTGGCCCTTGCCGAATCCGTAATTCCTAGAGTACCTGTATAGCGAGAGTATGGACAGATCGCTTAATGGAGGGATTAGGGCCCAAAAGTGCAGCCACGCTTCTAACCAACTTCTGACGCACTAAATTTCACTGCCAGTCTGTAGATTCCAATTCTAACGAAGATGGCTAAGAAAGTACATAAATGAGCGTTCTTCCACAAAAATTAGTAAATTTATGCAAAAACTGAGTCAAATACGTGCTTTATAGACGATGGTTCGTAACAATTGTATTAATAAATCGTTCTGGATAATTGAAATTCATATATGAATTTGGGCCCAGAATTGCAGCCAACCTAGGTTGGCTGCAATTCTGGGCCCTAACTTTATTCGCGGAGGCATCGGTGAAGGCCTGATGGATTTTCGGAGTTTCACATCTGTCTATACTCTCGCTATACAGGTACTCAAGTGATTCCCCGGTCCATTCCAGATTATAATCTTTGGAATCGGTGAAAATGTAATCTTTATTCCCGTTTGTGACACTGTGAAGGCCTAAAATACGGGAACCAATCAGAAATGGATACACATTGTCTTGACTCTCAGTATAAAGGGACTCTAGGGAACACCGGGAAAACCGGCAAATGTCAGGGAATTTTAAACAAGACGACGGTTCCAACTTCAAGACGTTGGAGAGCGTTCACCGTAGAGTACCTATAAAGGGAGAGTATGGACAACTCGAAATATGTAGCTCTTAGGGCCCAAAAGGGTAGGTAACCTTTGAAAACGAAAAGTGTCACTGTCAATCTTTAGACTCCAATATCAAACGAAAATTGACAAGAAAATTCACAAGTAAGCATTCTTCCGCAAAAAATGAGTAAGTTTATACAAAAACCAAGTCAAATACGTGCTTTACCAACGACAGTTCCCAACAGTTGTGATAATAAATCACTCTGAATAATTTGAATTCATAGATTGCCTGCCCTTTGGGGGTCTAAGAGCTCCATCACCTAACCTCAAAATTTTCACATGTCCATACTCTCCCTATATAGATACTCTAGTTCACCGTAGCACCTCGTCAATATGTAAAAGTGGTTTTGCGGACGGAAGAGAGTTAGTCAGTTAGTATAATTTTAAGACATTCAGCGTCTCAGGCTATTAACGTCTTTACAGATAATTTTGAAAATGGGAGTATAAACGAAGCGCTGCAAGACGCTGTTGAACTATACGCGGAGCGTAACTCAGGAAACATACATATTTTATATACAAGAAATGTCTTGTCATCATGGAGTAAAATATAGGGGTCATTAGTGAAGGAGTACTTTGTACCCAATAATTTTTTTAGATCTCCGACAATTAAAAATTTGAACGATCCTTGAGAGAGTCATTAAATAAAAGTACGTTGCAGAGTTTTAAAACGTGAAGATATTAATTTCTCAAAGACAAGCCTACAGGCATTACATAAAGTGGACAAAATAGGAGAAATGACATATAAAAAAAATTAAGAAACTATAGGTATTGCTTCCCGTCACGAAAAATGGCGCCAATTCCCATGGAGCAGTGCGGGCCTTTACCAATGGGTACATTAGTAACATACCCGATGCAAAACGACGGGAAAGAGCGTACACCACTAACGTGGTGAACGCTCAAAAAATTCCACTTTATAAAAATGTCGTGTGACTGTTGTACGAGATTTTTGGAGAAAATTTCTCGGACTTCCCGTTGAAACCGCCCATTGAAACATTGAATGAATTTAGATGAATGTAAAGAAGATCTTTGCAGCTGGTCAATTGGATTAGGTCTTAACCTCCAGTCGCTACCCTCCAGTCGTTCAAGTTATTCGTTGTCGTTATACTAGGGCTATAGTATGGCCGCCGTGGTTAATAGTTACGTCTGGGACTGGTAAGGCTTGAACCCAAAGGCAGAGCAGGAGGAGTCCAAAAAAACACACTAATCGTCGAAGATTCATGACGCTGAAACAGAGCACTAAACAGGGTCGAAAACCAGAGCACAGAGTAAAGAAACAACCAGTAGATTTTTTGTAGAGGAGCACGTTCTTGACAAGTAATGCTCTTCTTGCGTTGGTTCTATATCAGCTCGGCACCAGGAAAAAAGCACATTCGGAAGGTGATATCGTAAGACAATGTGAGGAAAGAATAAGCGGACGAGGTCGTGTTTTCAGCACTTAAAAGTGATTCTAGGCAGTGGGCCGATTATTGAAATTGATATACAAGGCTATAGACAAAGAAGACATTAGTGAAGGGGTACTTTGTACCCAAAGATTTTTCTAGAACTACGATGACAAAAAATTTGAACGATCCTTGAAAGAGTCATTAAATAAAAGTACGTTGCAGAGTTTTAAAACGTAAAGATATTAATTTCTCAAAGACAAGCCTACAGGCATTACATAAAGTGGACAAAATAGGAGAAAAAAGGTGGAAATGATACATAAAAAAAATTGAGGAACTATAGGTATTGCTTCCCGCCACGAAAAATGGCGCCGATTCCCATGGAGCAGTGCGGGCCTTTACCAATGGGTACATTAGTAACATACCTGATGCAAAACGACCGACGGGAAAGAGTGTACACTACTAACGTGGTGAACGCTCAAAAAATATGGAAAACCGGGAAATGTCAGGGAAAACTTGTTAAATCACCTTTATTTGCTCTCTAGAATGGGTTTAAGGTTTCGAACAACAAATTTTGTCTGAAAACTATTTTCAATTAAGTCCTCTTAACCATATGTTATATATTTAATTGTCAGGGAATTTCACCAAAATGTATCATGGAAATAAGGGAAATATCCGGGACTTTAATTTTCCAAATTCTGTGGCAACCCTGTCTGGTATAATTAATCACATCAGATTCCAAAGTAGCCTTCTAAAAGAACACACATTTTTCGGAATTCGTAGATTGTCAACAAAGCGAATAAACAAGTTTTTCTTGTTTTTTTCGCATTCGCAATTCTGGTGCTTCCGTGATTTGGAAAATAATCGGTTCAATTTACAACATGCTTGAAAGGGGATCGCCAAGATCTGAGTCGAAAATACGCTCAAAAATAAGTTCAAGTGGTTCTTCAGCACCCTAGAAAACGATATAGCGACGATAGTCGGTCGGCCGACTGATAATTTCTTGATTTCAAGACATTTTTCAACCAAACTCCTTTGATGAAACCAAAATTTATCTTGTCTCGTTTACATGCTATTTAGATTTGGATTCTCACACTCTAAATGGTAGCGGACTTATTATTGAAATTGATAGACAAAGCGATAGACCATAGACAAAGAGGACAAGAGGATGAGGGGCCATCTTATCGGTCAAAACGGGTGGTTTTTACGCGTGGTTCGTCCAGAAAGTAAGAAGCTGCTAAAAATAAGTTTACTTAAGTACTACCAGTAAGTTTACGTAAGTACTACAAGTAAGTTTACTTATCGTATACTTCCCAAACTAAGATAGTTAGAGAAAATTTGTAACAAGTTTTGAAAATCCGCTACACTCAGCTTTGTAACCCGCTATAGATTTTTGAAATTGGTGTTGTAGGACTCTAGAAAAGAACCCACCTCCTCTCCGCACGGGTCCGAAATATGCGCAGCTTCATCAGCAAGTGAGCTGCTAGGTCCATCGCTTATCGCAAGAAAGTGACTTAGAGATGGTTGAAAATCATGTAAAACGTTAGTAAGGACATTTATCTACTAGAATAAGCAAACTTACTTGCTAAGCAGCCCTTGTAGGTAAAGGGGAAAAATGATGGACTAACTATAAGGTCACTCGTGAGTTGCCGTCAGTTGTCAGTCCTCAGTTCATTCCGTACCTCTGTCAATTGCAAAAATACCCGCTTCCAACAATATGATCACTCCATTCTCTCTTCTTTGTCTATCGCTTTGTCTATGAATTTCAATAATCAGCTTACAGACCCTTTGTTTCCCCAAAAATTTCGTTTCTTGCCGTTACTAGTTATAAAGCGAACTCCAAGAGACACAAGTCAGCTCCCGTGATACCACTATTCGAGCTCTGGTGTGTTGCGGAGTATCATCGTTATTTGAAGGCGCTTTGAAAAACTGTGGGAAAAAACATTCGCATTCCTAAATGGCGCGGCGTTCTTCCTCGTCATCGTCACAGTAGCGTTACGCGGCTACATTTTGCGATTCGGAATTACAATTTCTGGCTCATCGGTAAAAAAACTTAAGTGCATAAAGAAACTAAGGATCTATACGTTGTTTCTAAACTGAGGCAGAAATTCCAGTTCCTAATTGCAAAATGCAGTCCAATTAGTTTGGTGGTCTAGTTGACTCGACCTACGAGTCATTTGAAC